TCCCATAATGTCTCCCTCTATCAAGATATCTCTTTCATTGCTCTCCTACTCTGTCCCTCCCCCAGCTTGACCATCGCATCTTCTCCCATCCTCTCCCCTCTATTGCCCCCATTTGCCCACAGTTTACTCATGGAGATCTCATCTGTTTCCCCTTCCCAAGGCAATGCATGTGTCCCTCTTAGGGTCCTCCTTGTTAGCTAGGTTCTCTGGAGCTGTGGGTTGTAGTCTGGTTATTCTTTGCTTTACATCTAGTATCCACTTATGAATGAGTACATACTATGTTTGTCTTTCTGAGTCTGGGTTACCTCACTTAGGATTGTATTTTCTAGTTCCATCCATTTGCTTGCAAATTTCATGATGTCATTGTTTTTTACAGCTGACCAATACTCCTTTGTGTAAGTGTACCACATATTCTTTATCCATTCTTCAGTTGAGGGGCATCTAGGTTGTTTCCAGGTTATAGCTATTACGAATAATGCTGCAATGAACATAGTTGAGCAAGTGTTCTTGTGGTATGATTGAGCATGCCTTGGATATATGTCCGAGAGTGGTATCATTGTGTCTTGAGGTAGATTGATTCCTAATTTTCTGAGAAGTCTGATTTCCAGAGTGGCTGTACAAGTTTGCATTCCCACCAACAGTGGAGGAATGTTCCCCTAACTCCACTTCCTCTCCAACATAAGCTGTCCTCAGTCTTTTTAATCTTAGCCATTCTGACAGGTGTAAGATGGTATCTCAGAGTTGTATTGATTTGCATTTCCCTGATGACTAAGCATGTTGAGCAATTCCTTAAATGTCTTTTGGCCATTTGAGATTCTTATGTTGAGAATTCTCTCTTTATTTTTCTTCTTTAATAAGAGATAATGGCATTGAGACAGTAATCTCTTCAATAGCCTCTTTGATAAGTGGACAAATAATGACAGTAGTAGCAAAGGCTGCTGCTTTCCTTTGTTGAGAGTTATGTTACAGTTTTTGTATGTTATAGCACTTAGTCATGCAGTAGCTTTACAGGTCAAGTATTGTTGTTTGTTTTGTTTTTAGGGTTTTTTTTCAGAGTTATTAATTTATTTATGCGTGTGTGTGGTCATCCATGGCACAGGGGGATGTGGAGGTCAGAGGACAGCCTTCAGAATCATTTCTCTTCCTTCTATGGTGTGGCTCCTTGGGATTAAACTCAGGTCTTGGGTTTAGGGGCAAGCACCTTTACCTGCTCAGCCATCTCACCAGCCCTTGTTTTGCTCTTTGAGACAAGGTCTCACTATGTAGCCCCAACTGGCCTTGACACATGACCTTCCTTTCCTAGCTTCCTAGTGCTGGACTTACAGGCCTGCACATCACACTTTACTTTGCGTCACTTCGTAGAGGGAGAGGCATTTTGAGCAGTTGAGCTGCATGCTTGGAGGTTGCTATGTTAGTACATGTGTCTAACTTATATGTACTGGAGAGTGTGCTTCTAACAGATGCATGGAATGAATGAATGCAGAGCCTAACACTTGTCCTCTCCGGATACCACTTCTTATTGCTCACTCTGTAATTCCTGTGACCTGGTGCCTACGGAGCCAGAGAGTGCTGTTCCAGTTTCTCTTGTCAGCTCCAGTGCAGAGCCTCATATGTGCATTACTGTAGTTCTCACCAAGTGCAGCTGTGATCTTTCAGCTATGTTAACTCTTCTTTGTTTATGTCACCTGTGAATTTGACAGTTGAAGTCATCAGTGAGAATGCTGGACAGGAAGGGACAGGGCCTCGAGCTCCTTAAGTTCTCACATGCCATCTCTCTACTAATCAAGTAAAGACTTCCCCCAAGATTTACATTAATATTTATAGCCCAAGTCTTTTATATATATATTCTTTGTGAAAATTAGGTCAATATTTGCAAATATTAGGAATTTTTCCAGTTCTTCGTAAATAAACAGAAGTGTTTGCAAGGTTTCTTAGTTCACTCAGATGTCATTTTCTTGTGCCTGTTGATTTGAACTCATTTGAAGTGAGTAGGTTCACTCTTGGTTTTCTTTCTTTTCCTTTTTGGGGGGAAAGTGGTTGGATTTGCTGATGACAGGACATAGAGCCTCTTAAGTGCTAGGCAAGCTCTGCATCTCTGGGCTGTATCCCTAAATCTGTTGCTTTTGTTGTTGAGATGGTGTCTCCATATGTTACCCAAACTGGTCCTGAACTTTTGGCTCAGGTAATCCTCCTGCCTCAGCTACCTGGTTAGCTAAGATTGCAGGCATGCTCATTCATAGCCAACTTAATTTCCTCCTAATGATCTTGTCAGTGCTTTTCTACTTTGAAGGTAAATTCCTCAGTAAAGAAGGGGGACGAAGGCACTGAACAGTTCTGCTTTCTGTCTTACATCTGTTAATGGCATGCACTTCACTGTCTGCTGCCATTCAAGCTTGGTGTTTTGTTCAGACCCCAGCTCAGGTACTTCCAGGTGCTCTGACTGATGCCATCACCTCAGATAGAAATGCTCCATCTTAACACAGCGCTATGGAGGAGACCTTAACCTTTACAGACTTAACATACATGTTTTATTGTTTGGAACAAAGCTGCAAATGTCTGCGTTTCCAGACATTTATGATGGTGAAATTATAATTGCATAAGATCTTAGTAAGGAGAGAGATATTACGTGATGGGACTGGAGAGATAGCTCAGTAAATAAAGTGTTTGTCAAACATGCATGAAGACCAGAGTTTGGGTCCCCAGTAGCCACATAAGAGTTAAGCAGGTATGGTGGTCTGCTTGTAATCTTAGAACTTGAGGAGGCAGAGATGGGGTTTCCAGGAGTTTAGTTAGGGTTTCTATTGCTGTATAAAGACCATGACCAAAAGCAAGTGGGAGGAAAGGGTTTACTTTATCTTACACTTCTAGGTCACAGTCCATCACTGAGGAGGTTGGGGCAGGAACTCAAGCAGGTAGGAACTGAAGCAGAGGCCATGGAAGAGTGCTGCTTACCGGCTGACTCTGCCTGCTTTCTTAAAGTACCCAGGACCACCAGCCCAGAGGGAGCACCACCCGCAATGGGCAAGCTCTCCCACATCAGTCACTAATTATGAAAATGTTCTGTAGTTGCCTGCAGTCTGACCTTATGGTCATATTTTTTCATTTGAGATCCCTTCTGTCAGATGACTCCAGCTTGGGTCACGCTGACATAAAAACTATGTCAGGTGTGGTGGTCTGCTTGCAAACCAGGGCAAGCTGGCTAGTTAGACTAGTTAAGTCAGCAAGCTCCAGGTTCAGCTAGAGACCCTGACTTAGTAAGTAAAGTGGAGAATAACTGAGGTAGACACACAAACCACAACAATAACTGATGTTAATATCTGGCCTCTACACACTCTGTGCACATACATTCACACCTTCTGACATGTGTACTCACACAAAGGTAAGCACATATGTACAACATACACACACACACACACACACACACACACACACACACACACACATATGAAAAACATCCTGTGCACAAGGTGGATGCGCAAAAGTGGAGTATGTAATTAGTGAGTTAGCCTCCCCAGGCCTTCGGCATAGGCACTGCCCATCAATAATTTCTAGTATATTAGAGTTAGAACATTCCTGTTGTCCTTCATGTTTGTTCCTGTCTTTGTATTTTTAATATTTGGTAGTCAAGGTGAGGCAGTTACCCTTATCTGTACTCTGGAGTAGATGTTATCTTCATTATGTAAGTAATCCTCACTTTATGGCCCTTAGCCACTGGTCCGTCTGCTAATGCTGTGTAGCTTTTCTACAGATGATGTAGTATTTTCTGTGAAGTCAGTCATGGCAGCTATGAAGACAGTTTTCTTTCTTTCTGATCTTTCTCCACCTGTCCCCCTCTCCCTTCTCCTCGGCAGCTCTCTCCCTGCCTCCTTTCCTCCCTTTATTCCTTCCTTTCTCTTTGTTTTACCCTAGCGTGCTGACTAGAGTTCTCAGTGTGTTAGTGACTAGGACTAGCAAGATCAGATCTTCACCTTCTTTCCAGTCTTAGAGAAGGGTCCTTCTCCACTAAGTATGATGTAATCTGTGTGGGTTACTTTTTAGCAGCTGCCTATGGTTCAGAATATACATACTTTGTGTGTGTGTGTGTGTGTGTGTGTGTGTGTGTGTGTGTGTGTGTGTGTGTGCAGGCATGTGTGCCGTGTTGGCATGTGGAGATCAGAGGACAACTTGTGGGAGTTGGTCCTGGAGATGGAACTCAAGTAGTTAGGCTTGGCACCCATCTGCTGAACCATCTTGCCAGCCTAAGAGTTTAGAAATAATGAAAAAGTTGATATTTATCTGTGTATTTACCATTTGTCTATGCACTTGATTCCTTTGTGGAGAGTCGGAGTTCTGTCCGGTCCCATCAGCATTTCTCACAGTGTCTGTGCACTGGTGACAGATGTCAGCTGCTGTGTATGTGTGCAGATGCTTCTCCTTCACTTCCCTGGTGGGAGTTGTAGTTGAGCTGTGTCTCCTCTCGGTGACCTGCACGTTGTTCCAGTGTGTTCTGGCTGGTTTATCAGAGACTTCTGTCACGCTTGTCTTCCTTCCTCTGCACCGCAAGCATCTTTTTCCTTCTGCCTGCTTTTGGGATTTATTGCTTTTAAAAAATTTTTGATCTTAGTTTTTAACATTTAACATCTCTATTAACAAACACTTAAAATTCTACATATGTAGTAAGGATGTGTAAGGAATGCTGTTCATCTTCCAGCTTCTTTTATATCCTCATTCACTATGTTTCCTTTCCCCAGAGAGTTTGTAGACAGAAAAGACAAACCTTTCTTTTGATTAAAAAAAAAAAAAGTAATTTGGTCTGATACTATTTTGTGTTATTGTTTACCATCATTTCTAAATTTTTAAAATGTAATATTGAAAACCTTCAGAAAGTTAATTACCATAAAAAAATCACTGCTTTCCCTGCCTGTTATGTTTGAGTAGAGCAGTAAAGGTTTTTGTGGTAACTGGATGTGGTCTCATGATGGAAAGTCATCACTTTCCCATTTTTTGTTTTTTGTTGATAGTATCAGCGGTGCAGAATTTGGGACAAGTTGCATGAAGAGCACATCAATGCAGGGCGCACTGTTCAGGTAAGGCTGCTGTGTGTGGCAAATCGGGAGAAAAAGACAGTCTTGAGAAAATTTTGCTAAAATAATTCAGGATGATATAAGCCTTTATCTAAAATGCTCATTTCAAGATGTATGAGATGAGACAAGTGTAAACAGAGTCCATTCCCATTTCACACACTCCTGAGGCAATGGCAGGATTTTTTTTTTTTTTTTTTTTTTTTTTTTATCGGTCACTTCATTTATTGTTTTTATTTGCAGGAGGAGTTGAAACAAAAACTTAAGGGTGTTTTTCTTTTCTTCCCTAAACATGAATCATTCAAGTAAAACCAACTTAACTATAGAAATTAGCAAAGTAAGGGGAAGTAGTAACAACCCACGAGCAAAGGCTGGGGGAAGAGGAGGTGCAGTTGGCATAGACCACGTGCACAGAGACCATATGCACCGAGACCGTATGCTGTGTTTACCTGCTCAGGATCGCCTCCCCGGAAGGCAAGCACAAGGACCCTTTTATGAGGATGTTCCCCCTCAAACATCTGAAAGTGTTTCAACTCAAAACTTAAGGTTAAAACAAACAAACAAACCAAAAACACACAACCCCACAAACCACCCAGCCATAACCACCATCCTTAATCGATCATAGGAGTTTCTTTTCATTTTATAAAAAGATCAATAAAAAATATTGAAAAAATTCTTTTCTCATCTTATATTTGTAAAGATAATAGAATTCAGAAGTTTCTTAGAAAACAGACCAGAAACTGCCCTCCAGTTTCCCTCCCTTTGCTGAGGACCAGCAGGACTACAAAGTGGAGGATAGTGGCTGCTGGTGGAAAATGGGAAGCCCAGCCCAGGAGAAATCAGACAAGAGCAGGGTGCAAGGGGAGGCTGGGAGCAACTCCACGTGACACATGGCTGTGCAGAAAGGGGAACGCAAGGTGGTCAGAAAGGCCTTAAACTCCTCCGTGACATACAAAACCGGTTTCTACAAAGATCCAAGCAGTTTGGTCCCAAACTGAGGCAAACACTTCAATGTTTATTCACATGCTTTGTTTTCTCTTAAGAATCAAAGTTGCCCAAATTAAATCTTTCTGCTAATATTACTGCATATGCCTTAAAAAGAAAGAAAAAAAAGGAAAGAAAAAATATAAGGGATTTTTAAAAATCAGGACAGGAAAAGACTGAAAACCAAGTTCATCCTCTTAGCTCCAAATGAAATGAAATTAAGAAAACTTGGTTTCTAATAGGGAAAAAACAAAACAAAAAACCCCAAATCCAAGCATCAGCATCATTCTCCCTACCCTGCCCCCACCCCACACACCAACAACAAACAAGAAACGGCAGGAGCCCACTATTGTGGGCCACTCAAAACATGGGCCTGATCCTAGGCTGTGGCCAGCATCCTCTGTCCAGTGGGACAACACCAGGGATGTGTACTCTGCTGTCATAGGGTTCTGTGTGGCTGGTGGGTTGTGGGGTAGGATTTGAAGGATCTTCTGGAGGCTCCCTGTTTAACTCCACCAGCCTCCCGCAGCGCCTTTCTCCCCTGGGCAAGGGCTCCATCGAGAGTGGCCCCTACTCAGCTGTGGGCTGTAAACTGTCCTTCTCTTCTCGGTTCTCTGTCCCACTCTCATCATCTTCAATTTCTCCTTCCTCCCCACTGAACTTGTCGTGGGCAAAGACTTCGTGGGTCCAAATGAAAGAGGCGGCAGAGCTCGGGGAACCTTTCAATTTCGAGCAAGAGGGAGAGGTTGGGGCAGAGGAAACTATTCTGGTAACAATAACAACAACAGCAACAATGATTTTCAAAAGAGAAACCGGGAAGAGGAATGGGATCCAGAGTACACACCCAAAAGCAAGAAGTATTACTTGCATGATGACCGGGAAGGTGAAGGCAGTGACAAGTGGGTGAGCCGTGGCCGTGGCCGAGGAGCCTTCCCCCGGGGTCGGGGTCGGTTCATGTTCCGGAAATCCAATGGCAGGATTTTTAATGCACCCATGTTTGGGCTCCATCTCATGAGGTCAGCTGTGGCATTCCACCGGCTAGAAAGTGACAGGTTTGAGATGTTTAGGACTTGTAGATTTGAAGTAGGGGGTGCTCAGTTTACTAATTCCTAGCTGACCTCTTTTGTATATTTGTTACTGTTTTACCAGGAACTGCTGAGTCACATTTCATGTTGCCTAGTTTTCCTTCAGGAATAATAGATTAACTTATATTTTCACAATTAATACATTGTCCAAAAACCTTACAAAATTCACAGTATTTCACAAGTTGTATTAATTAATTGGTTGGCTGACATAATGCTACTTGTAGTTTTAACCTTTTTTAAAAAAATTGCTTTGAAGGGTAAAAGTTTTTCACATATGCCTTGTGCAAATATTTCTTAATTGTTGTGTGTGTTCTTCATGTGTGTTATGTAGCTGTACTTGTAAGACACCAACATCTATAATTTGAGAGTTATAGAATTCTACCTATGAAATGTATTATCCATATTTAGTTATTTACTTTAAAAATAAGTTCTAATTATTTTAAACTCACTTTTAAAAATAGTATTATGTTCAGGGCCTGTGAGATGGTTCGTCAGGTAGAGGCCCTGGCCACCAAGCCTGACAGTCCAGGTTCCATCCCCAGGACCCACATGGTGGAAGGAGAGAGCTGACTCCAGCCGGTTGTCCTCTGACCTCCACATGTATGCTGTGGCACTCAGGCACACCCACACTAAATAAGTAAGAAAATGTATGTCTTGAAAAGATATAATCATTAATTTTTAAAAAAGAACAGTACAATAGAGGCAGAACCCCCACAGTTCTCTATCTTTAAGACCTATTTGGAAGAATTCATTGTGAGGGCTTCGGCTCCTTTCTATGGTACCTTGTTATTACTGACTAGCCCGTGTATCTGTGTGGTTTAGACATCATCTCTTCACCCTGCCCTGTGGGTGGAGCTCTAGCCTCCCACTTCGCTCTCCTGTCTCCCTTCTCCTTTATAATTGCACATAGACAGTCCCTTGGTTCAGCTAGCACTCAGTACCTCATTATTTTGATTATAAGGACATTATTTTCTGCCAAGTCAAATATAGTGAAATACAGTCCAGCCCTTTATTTATTTTTTTGAAGTTAATAACAACCTTATTTTTAATTACCTAGCTTTCTCTCAGTGTATTTTTGAGTTGTGTTAAAATGTTCCACATGTCTTATATTGCTGTCGATGATATTTTCATGTGTTTAGATATGTGTGTCCCATTCTTTATTTTGGAAGTTCTATCCCAAGCCCTTTATCCCCCAGTCCCAGTGTGGACTCTGTCTGATGCATAGCTGGGAACTTCCCTGGTATGTTTCTATGCAGGAGCTGGGAGTTTTCATGGATATTTGGTTTTCCTCTGTATTTCCTCCACTGTTTTGTTGGTTAGCACCCAGAGGTAAAGGATTAAGTAACTGTGTGTCAAAAACCCTCACTGTAGATTCACCAGGTGTAGAATTCCCTTTGGAATTGGTTTTCAAGAGTGAGTACTTTCCAGCTCTGTGTGTAATTCTTTCAAAATCTGAATCACCTGATTCCTCAGACTTTGCAATGGACTTCTTTCCTCCTTGGGACCTTTTGTACTCTGTTTATCTCTACCTAGTACTCTGAAATTTTAATAATGTGTTTTGTGTTGTATCTTATCATTTCCATCTCAAAATTCATTTTCATTAGTTCTGTGAAATTTTATTTATTTATTTGTATTTTGAGACAGGATCTCACTCGTGCACAGATTGGCCAGGAACTCACTGTGTAGCCCTGGGTGTCCTCAAACTTATGGCAGTCCTCTTGACAGCCTTGCAAGTGCAGGGATTGGAGACAAGCGCTAATTTATTCTCCTTCATTCTCCCTCCCTCCATCCCTCCCTCCCTCTCTCTCTCATCTCTCTGTCTCTCCCTGCCTCCCTTCCACCCTCTCCTCTCCCTCCCTCCCTCCCCCCTCCCCCCTCTTTTAATTTGAAGATATTTTGTTATGGGAGCTGGGGAGTTGGCTCAGTAGGTAAAATGACCACTGTGCAAGTATGAGAACCCGAGTTCAGGTCCCCAGCACATGTAAAAAGTCAGGTGTGGCGTGCATATGTAACCTTAGTGAAGACAGGCAGATCTTTGGAACCTGCTGTCCAGCCAGTCTAGATACTCAGTGAGCTCCAGATTCAGTGAGAGACCCTGTCTCAGAAAATAAGGTAGAGAGGAATAGAGGAAGACACCCAACAGATGCTGACCTCTACTCCACACAAAGGGTTACACATACATGTACAAATTGTATACACTCTAGTTTACTGTAAGGGTCAGTAAACTGACCCCCAGACTGTACCTGGCCTGACAGCTGTCTGTTCGTTTGTTTGTCTGTTTACTATTTTATATTACAAATGCAGAGTTGAATAGTTACAACAGAGACGATATGGCTTGCAGAGTCTAAGCTGTGTACTACCTGGCCCTACAAAAAGGGTTGCCAGTCTCTGTTTCACTGAATGGTGGAACTCAGATTGCATGGCTCAGTGGTTAAAAACGAGCCTAAGAACCTGGGTTCAGTTCCCAGAACCCATATCAAAAGTTAGACACCATAGTACATGTCCATGATTCCAGCATTCCTACAGCAAAATGGGAAGCAGAGACAGATGAGTCCGCCAGAAGATTCTGGGCTTTCTAGTCAGGAGAATTCAGTGTAGCAGTGAATAAGAAAGACCTTGCAAAACAGTGCAAGGCAAGAACCGACACCAGAGGTTGTTCTTTACCTTACACACAAGCACATATGCACAAATTAAATATGTTCAGCATATATTTCAATTAGTATAGCTGCAATATAGTGAAAATTGAGATTGTATGAAATGAATGCAAGATGTCCCTACAAAAGGTTCCAGAAGTGCAAGGAATAGCCATTAGTAGCTGCAAATAAGATGATGGAGAAAAGCAGATTGGTTTGAGATTGAGATGGAAGTACGACTTGTTTGTACAAGATGGTAACTAGATTATAGGCCTAAGGAAAAGGTGGCACTTGCCTCTTCCCA